AAGATTGGGGAAGTCAGGAGGTTCTTCTGTGACATGAAAGAGTTGTTAGACATAAAATCCATTCCAGCAAGAGGTACAGTGGGGAAGTGCCTTCCCTGAAGATGATTTAAGTTTTCACTGGTAGCTGGCCTAGACTGGTTTGGGAGCTTTGCACAGAGCTTGGGGGCTGGACAAGTCTGGGAGGCTTCTGGATCCCTAGCTGTTTGCCAGCAAGGAAGGGCTGGTTTGGGTGGGTGGCTGGAGAAGGGGGCTGGTGGGGTCTATGGATTCAGTTAGCTGTCAGGCTCTGTGATGCCCAGAGTGACAAGATGGAAGGAAGGCATGGTTCCTCCCTGCCAGGGAGGGTGCGCGGAGGGAGGGAAGGTGCGTGTACTGGTCACAAAACTGTGTGCAGATTTTCCTGAAATGCGTTGCTGAGGATACTGGGACTCCAGTGGGGCTTAACCGCAGTGGTGTCCGACAGGAAGAGCGTGTTGAAGACACTCCTGTGAGAAGAAAGGCCTTGGGTGCCAACCAGAGGAGCACTGATTGGACAGAGATGCTTGACTCCAGTTGCAGGTTCGGAGCAGGGAATATACAGAGGAATTGGTTTTTGACAGTCCTGGTGACAGGAAGGTTAAGGCCAGAGGGGCAGTTTAAGTGTGTGGTGGGGACTTGGGGATTGAGAGGGAAGAGGCAGCCGTGTGGCCTCTCACCATCCTTCTGGTCCTGTGTGCTGGGTAAGTTGAGTCTGTTTGCCATTAAGTGCAGAGGAGGGTTTCATCACTTACAGGAAAACCACCCACTTATCTGAAATCTGACCTACTTTGGGGTTGGAGCCAGACAGGGCTCTTGGATCCCTCAGGGACCTTCAGGCTGCAGTTGTCAAAATCGGTGCATTAGCCCCACCACTCCCATCATCCACAGAGGCACTGGGGACTGAGATCGCCCCTCTGGGTGTCTTAGGTGGTGAGGCAGGTTTAACAGGGCCAAACTGTCTGTGATCCTGAGGAGTCAAGTGCTCTTTCCTGTGTCCATTATGCTACAGGTGCAGCCCTGCTCCTGCGGTGCCCTACTCCTGGGACTGCAGTCAACTTCTCATTCTTGGGGTTGCATCGTGATGTAGCGGGAAGGGCTCTGTGCAGGGAGGCAGGACATGGTAGGTCGGGAGAGCCCAGTGTCTTCTGGGAATGACAGGCCAGATATTTTTTAGGTTCCCTTTGCTTTCCGCCTCCTTTGATTCCCTGCAAGTCATTTTAAGCCACTTTTTTTAAAAGTCACTTTTTAGTTCTGTCAACAATGACATTTTATTTAGTGGGTGGAATTTCTTGGTCACCAAGAGAAAGTTGACAGCTTCTGGGTGGTAGTAGCCTCAAGTCTGGTAAACAAACAGGAAAGAGAAGACAGGGATGAGGGAGAGAGGAGGCGTAAGGAGTGGCACTTGGTTAGAGTTGGCAGGCAGCAACCACCAGAGGGCAGAGGGAGGAGGGGTGGAGAACGTGGTCGGAGATGGATCCCAGTCGCTGGCAGATTTTGGAGGGGCTGGGGCACAGTTCCAGTGTATTGACCTAGGAAGCTGAGCTACACAGGGATCCAGCTTAGAAACTGCACAGAGACGGCAAGGCTGTCAGGGTTTTCAGCTTCTGCCCCACCACCTTTGGCCCTGGGGAGGGGTTTGGCCAGGTCTTCTCCCCTTGGGTGCTGAGCTTGCTGTCCAAGAAGCCACAGTCTCTTGGAGGGAATGGTTGTAGTCCTGTGGGCTTGGGAAGCTCTGCGCTACCTGCTTCCACCCTTTTTACCCTCTCCTCCCTCAGCTTTCAAGTAGGGTCCCGTGTTCTCAGGCCAGGAGAGATGGTTGAAGGTGGGGCCTCTGACGAGTGGGTTCATGGGCAGCGATATGCCGTGGAATTGGGATAGCTGAGGTTATGGAGATCTTTTCACCCCCCCCACCCCCCGCCCCTGGGCCAGGATTATAGGACACCTTACTGAGATTGTCTTCTGCTTTTGCTGAGGGAGCAGATAGGATGAAAGGGGCAGCTTAGGGGAGGCAGGAGCAGGACAATATGGACAGTCGTCAGGGTCAGCCATGGTGCTGAAGGGGCTAGATCTGGGAGCTGTGGCCTTTCTTCAGGCTCTGAAGGGGACCTGGGGCTGGGGGTGGGAGACTCCCCTCAGACCTGAGAGTGGGCTGTGCCAGAGAAAGCCCTGCCTGGAGAAGGCAGAGGAGGGATGGACTGGCCATGGGAAGATTAGCAGGGAAATGCCCCCACCCCCACCCCCACCCTCAGCACAATGGCTCCAGCTCATTTTCCTATAAAAGTTACCTTCATCCTGAGGTCCCACCATAGCCTCAGACCTTAGCTTGGCAGAGAGCGAGCAGCATGGTGCTGGGGCCATGATTTTGGTGAGGGGAAGGAGGCCCCACCACCTCGGTCCTCAGGGCTGGGCCTGCAGCTGGAGCTCTCGGAGGATGGGGACCTTATCCCTTTGCTCAGTGCAGGGGCCCTGTGGTCTAAGGGAGAGCCCTGGGTTGGGATGACATGATCTGGGCTTGACTGCGTCCAACTCCCGGTCACTTCCCCTCTCTGGACCTCAGTTTCCTATTTAGTTGAACCGAAGTCAGTCACAAGCGGTCTGAGGTCCCTATTAGCCCTAGCAGCCCTGCTCTGCCAAGCCCTTCATTCTGATGGTCTTGTCTGAACTGTACAGCAGCTCTGTGTGCAAATAAGGAGGCATTACTTCCATTTCAAAGGAACGTGGGGAATAGACAGACGCAGAGAAAAGGTTTCCTGCAAAGGTTATGCAGCCAGTTAGCACAGAGCCACCCCGGGAACCCAGGGCTTTGGATGCCATCATCTGGATTCTCCCGCCACCCCTCCGTGAGCCCACCCCAGGCTGCGTGAAGGAGAGGAAGACGGAGGGTCACTGGGTCCCACTCTGCCCGCCTCTAGCAGGCTTTGCTCCTTCAGAAACACCAAGTGGGTCCCTAGGCAGTCCTGCTTCCTCCCAGCACCTGCCCATCCTGCTACAGCGGGTTTTCTGACTTTCTGAGGTCCAGCTCTTGCTATACAGCGAACTCCTTTCTCTGCCTCCTCCCCCTGCCACAAGGAATCAGCCACTAGGTGACTCCCTGAGTCTAATCTGAGACCTTCCTTGCACTTTCGGCCTCTGATGTACGTAAACCATCTGCTCCCTTTCCTCCCTCCCTCTCCTCTTGCGCAGGAGGGGGTTTAGACCTACAGGCAGCAGGAAGTGGAACCCCAGCTCTGTTGACTCAGCAACCATATTCCTCCTTAAGCTGATTAGCATTGGAGTGGAAAGGAGGGGAATTCGCTTGTCACTGGAGCTGGCACCTGCACCAGGCTGGGGGTGGCGTGATGGCTGCAGCACCTGGGCCAGGGGATTTCTGTGCCTCTGGCAGGAGAAGAAGCCCTGACAGGCACTGATTGCCTTGAGCAGGCTGCACAGACAGGACCACTGGAGTACCTGGGCCTGAGTGGCTTTGGGGTGGGTGGGGGGCAGTCTCTGTTCTGAGCCCTGAGGGCAACGCAGGGGCAGACATCCTGCCGCAAAGAGCCCCCAGTCTGAGACAAAAATAAGACCCAGGGCAGATGATTCCAGGTGGTTGAAGCCCAGAATACGGGTTCTGCCCTGGGGCCGAGGCTGCCCTGAAGTGGGTCTGGGCAGAGGATGCTTCACAAAAGGGAAGAGAACTAGGTTCCAACTGAGGCAGAAGCCGATGGCCTTGGTCTTGGCCTTGCTTGGAAGACACAAAAGAGTCTTGGGGCCGCTCGTCCTCCAAGCCTAAGGGCTCACACACAGGCTGGCAGTGCACTCTCCCCTTCCCAGTCTTGTGCTTGCCCCTTTCTCTCCTGGCATCCACAGGAGATAGAGCCACCCTCTGGCCCTGGCTGCCTGCCCAGCCCAACCCAGTTAGGGAAGGAATACTTTGCAGAGAAAGGTCTGTGTCCCTTGTCTCGTGTCTCCTGCCAACAGATCTGTGACCCTTGCGCAGGTGTCTCTCAGCCCCCGACCCCTCTGTCTCCCACAACATGAGAGAGTCAGAGACAGAAGGAGCCTGGAGTACCTGCATCGCTGTAGGGGGAGGTGGTTGGTGATGATTTATTAGCCAGACAAGAATCAACAAACAAGTTCTAACATCTGTTCTCGCCAAACCAACCCCCAGACAGCAGCAGCATTGGACCAGGGCCCAGACCCAAAGGCTCAGAGGACCAAGGAAATCAGACTCCGTGCGGAGAGGCCGGGGCAGTGGGAGGCAGCAGGCCCTCCCAGCCCACATCCTCAGAGGAGCACCAAACACTGAGGACTCTGGGAGGGAGCGGTGAGTGTGTCCCTAACAGGAAGTGGGTTCCACATTTGCTCCTCTGACCTCCGGTCTGCTTTGTGGGAGGCCCAGACCTGTCAGGATAACAGGGCTACGCTGGGATCTGGAGGAAGGGAACCAGCACCCGGGACCCAATGCGGTGGAACCCAGGAAAGCCACCAGACTTCCTGTCTTAGGAAAGTTCTGACATTTCCTGTGAAGACAGTGGAGGTGGGGTCAGGAACACAGCACTAAACGAGGGGCTTAGGAGGCCTGGGTCCTCGTCCTTGACCTCAGCCAAGTCATCCCACTGGCTTTGTTTCCTTATCTGCACAGCAAGGGAGTTGGACTTGATCAATAAGGGCAAAAAAAAAAAAAAAAAAATGCTGCTCCTCTTCCTTCCCTCACCCATAGCAGACATCACTAATCAATCCCGGTGCTCTTTTCTGCTGAGTTCAGATATGACCTTAACATCCTTTCCAAGGCAGCGCCTTAGAGCCTTAGGCAGCAAGGACCAATGGACTGGAGTTGGGATAGAAGGTGACACATTTTTGCCGTCTTTGCAATAGGTGACAGCTGAGGTCCTTTCCCGCTGGGATCGATCACCTTGTTCCATCCACATTTCCTTAGGAGGGCACCTGGGTGTGTGTGAAGTTCTCTGGACCCGCTGTTCCAGGTTAGCCTCCCTCCGCTCAGACACTGGCTCCTGAGGAGGCCCTAGGGAGGGCCACGTCTCTCCTCTGTCCTGGAACTCCTGTCTAGGTTGTGAGGGAGGCTGTGTCCCCAGAGAGGCAGGGGCTGGCGGGGCACGGGAGGGCCTTGTCCAGCCACGGAGTTCTCGGAATGCAGTTGCTGGCCACCTGGATTCTGCAGAGAGAAGGACAGTCTTAGGGCACACCCTCGATCCTCTGCCTTTTAGGCCGAACTGCAGCCTCACAGGCCAAGGCATCTG